GTTGCTAGAAAATTATCTGCAATATCAAGTGTGTCTTACTTGGTTACTTATCTGATTTGGAAACAAATTCTCCATGATGTAGCAAACAACAGCAACAAAGACAAAACAAACTTGTTGAAAATTTACAAAAGTTACACACGCATATTCATTCCCATTTCCCCCCAAAGGTTCCTATGAAAGAGTGAAATGGCAAAGCCTAGAATTCCTTTTAACTGTGCATGTGTGTTGTGTGTGTGAGTGTGTGTGTGTGTGTTGTCAGTGTCTGACCTTATAAACCTCTTCAGTTTTGACCGTGAAATATCACATGGCCTAACCCCCAAACCCTAACACTCCCACTGTTAATAGCATTCCTTTTGGACACCTTAAAAAAATACCCAGGAAAGCACCTGTTTCTGTATGATTTGTAAAAAGTGTTACTTTTAAAGGTAAGGTGTTTTTGAGTTATTGAAGCCCAGCTTAAACAAAACAAAGCACTTGGTTTTTAAAGCTTAACTAGACAAGAATTTGTTTCTTTTGAATAATAAAACCAAAAGTCAGCTATTTTCTTCCCAGATGATAAGGGGTATGTCATCACATAGCAGTAAAAACTGAAAATCCAACCAAATTAGGTCTAACAAAAAATGGCAGCTGGAGGAGTCTGAAATTGTAACCTATTCCTCAAGTCACTGAGAAATAAAATTAGGCAAATTGTAGGGTGAGAAGTAGCAGTGAAGTATCCAGGTTTTGACTCTACAAAACCCCTAAAAGGCCCAATGATTTCTGGAGGAAATTTCCAAGAGCCTCAATCATGAGTCACTGTAATTTGCTGCCCTCTGAGCCTCCACTGGTTTTGGCATACTTCAGTGCCCCATGTCTTCAGCCCAGCAGTAGTGGGGAAGCTTCAGCCAGCAGAGGATGGGGGTGAGGGGATGGATGGTGGTGAAATTGCCTTATAAGGAAAGTTTAAGTCCTGGGGAAGGCCTGGTGTTTCATCAAACTAGAAAAATGTTAAAGACCTGAGACCTCTTGCCCCTCCCATTGACAGTTCAGAGACAGAGGGGAGTTAGGGATGTGTGTTCCCTAACAGGACATCCTTCTATTTAAACGTGAAGGGTAACCAGGGTATAACCCTCCTAACAGCTATGTCTTAACCAAGTTCTGGAAGATGGAAGACACCCAGATCACAAAGGTCAGACCTTGATGTGAGCACACCATGGAGCCTGTCAGAGCCTGGAGGAAGCAGAATCCACCATGGGGGCAGCCACACCCTGGGAATCACTAACTTCCCACTTTACAGGTGATGGGCTCCAGTGTCAGAGAGGGCAGTAACTTTAGGACTCCTAGCCGGAATTAAACCCAGGTGATTTACAGGGGATGGGTGCAGGACCTAGAGTCCCCACCTTACACCCGGCCACTCAGAGCTGGGGCTCTGCAGCAGAAAGAACGGGTGTTCCCTGGGATTCTCTTAGACTCGCACATTTGGGCTCAGCATTGGGCTGCCTGGGATGTGCTTCCTGGCACATAATGACCACCATCAAGATTATTATTGGCATTAGACATTTACATGACACTTAATATTTTCAAAGCATTGTACTGCCATTTAATTAGTTTTTCCTTGCAACATTCCTGTCAAGTCCACACTTGATAACTGGGAGACTGATGGGGGTTGGGGTGCAGGGAGAGATAAATACTAAAGGTTGATGGAGAAGAGGGGATGACAGCACTGTCTCTTGGCTTTCCTTCTCTCTGGTGACCCAGCCAAGTTAAATAACCTCCCCTACTCCCTGCAGATTCTGCACTCCCAACCCCCAGAACCCCACAATCAAGGTAACTGTAACCTCCAGGACGGAGTGGGGATTCGGGGCAGGGGGAGGAGAATCTCTTTGGTGTATTTTGGCTCAAGGTTCAGACACCTTCCCCCCCAAAAAAAAGTCAAGTTCAAGTTCACATTCATTCATAACTACAGACCAGTCTCTTTCCAAATCTCCATTAAAGCAAACTGTGAATTTACAGGGTTGTGACTCCCAGACCCAGGGCAGCCCTGGATAAGATAGGAAGATTTTAGCATCTGACGAGTCCTAATTAGGTTTGTTAAAATAGAGTGGTGCTGGCCAGCGGACCTCAGAGTTGGGCTGTGAAAGGGGCAGATTCTCTGCTCACTGCTCATTGGAGAAGTGGCTTCACTGGGGAAACCACAGATCCTACCTTAGAGACAAGACCTCACAGCAAGGCCTCTAGTTCTGCTCCTGGGATTCAAGGAGAAAGCTCCGGGGAGGAGACAGAGGAGGGAGCCATGGCTGGAAGACTAAAACCCCAGGCGGTTAGCTTCTGGATGCACCACCCCGGGCGGCTCCAGCCCCCTCTTCGCAGCCCACCTGCACTTTTCTGAAGCGAGCTGAGGCCACCTCCTTTTCCTCTGCCTGGAAAGTTCTCTCACCAGGGCCCGGGGGAGTTAGAATTAATGGCAACCCCTTCTGTGAAGCACCAGCTGCAGGTTCTGGGGGCCGGCAAAGTTTCCCCTGGCCTGCGGGTGACCTGGAGCCAAGGTAGAGAGGGATGGACCTGTGTCTCCTGCGATTCTTATCCTAGGTCCCCTCCTTCCCTCCCCCCCCCC